AGTGAGGAAGGGTTGGTTGGATGGCATAACTTGTGTTTTACTCTCGTAGTGGAATCGGAATTTGAACGAAAAGAAATCTTTATTCATAATACTTTCTAAGTAGCTAAGCTAAGTAGACATAATCCTCCCGAAGTAATTAAACTAAATAAGTGGTCTATACGATACAGGGGGTGGTTACAAGGGGGTGATGGCTTATCCTAGGCAGAATTCGCTTTCGGGGTTTTCTTCGGCGGGGTTCGTATGGTCCTCGTCTTCAGGGATTGGGTTTTTCCCCTTCTAGGCCTTCTTCGTTTCCGAGGTCGGCTTGCGTTTGGCTCATGACGAATACTTTTCCGGGAGCGCCATAGCCCCCTTGGTGACCGGTACCCCCGTGTTGGCCCGTGGTGGTGGGACGCGGTCTTTGGGGCCGAGTGCATTGGAAGGCCTTGTGTCCTTCCTCCCCGCAGTTGAAGCATCGCCAGGGGTTGCCTGCGCAGTCCTTGCCTCTGTGACTTTTGTTGCATCTCGGGCAAGGAAAGTTTCTTGGGTTCGCTTCGTTGCTTCCCGGGGGCGGTCTTGGGTTAGTCGGGTTGTTTGATCTCGTGCCGATGTCGTTCCTTGTTCTTTTCACCGGTGGTGCCCCACTTCCGGTGTTCCTTCTTCGCATTTGTTCCTGAGCCCCGCGTTGAAGTAGTTGGATCCGATAGAGGTTCGCGGCACTGACGTAAGCCTCGTTGAGGGTCCGGGGCCTACTTACTACTAGTGCCTTCCGGGCTTCGAAGTTGAGGCCTGATACGAATCTTTCTACCTTGGTCACCTCGGTGGGGACAAGTTCGGGTGCGAAGCGCGCCAGTTCGAGGAATCGTTTATGGTACTCCACGACGGTGGCCGTCCCTTGCTTTAGATGAAGGAACTCTTCATACATGGATGCTTTTATGTGGGTTGGGTAAAACCGTTCACGTAATCGTGCCTTGAGGCTTTCCCAGTTGAACCCTGGCTCTTGTCGGTGGGTGGGTCCTTCGTGGATCCACCAGAGGTCGGCCTCGTGTCCGAAGTAGAACGAGGCTATCTCTACACGACGCTCCTCTGGGCATTCTACTACCCCTAGAATCTTGTGAAGGGTCCGAATCCATTCCTCCAGGACTGCGGGGTCCTCTTCTCCGAAGAACGTGGGTGGTCGGTGATTCGAGACTTGTCGAGCGACGTCAGAGTTTGTATTCACCGGAGGCGGTGGGGCCTGGTGTTGCGAAGGGCCGCGTCGCTTAGCGCCTGCGCGACTTGTGTTAGTTGCTGTAGGGTTTGGGTCAAGGGGTCGTTGGTGGCGGGTTCCGGAGTCCTTGATTGCCTTCTGTTCGGTGCCATGCTATCGTCTTTCTGGTCAGTGTTTATAAGAATGTTAAGTTAGAGTTCGACGCACTTCTGGTGAAGTGATAAGTGGGGAAGGGTTTTAGAATGGGGAAGGGCAACGTGTAGGGAAGTTATGTGTAGGTTTCACAATCTCACCGCGCGTCCTAAGATTCCTGAGTCCTATGTTCCTAGGTACTTAGAGCTCAAGCCTAACGTCCTAAAGTCTGGTCTTAAGAGTCTTATCCTAGGGTCAAACTTAGGCTCTGATACCAACTGTAACACCCCAGATTTTCAAGACATTTAAAACTTATAAAATAAGGGTATTATCTCATTAAATCCCAAAACATAATACAAGTGTACGGGTGCTATGCCACACCTGAGCTGGAGAACCCAGGTGCACAGGCTAACTACCTAATATCCTCAATAATGTAAATGCATAATATGGCACGCAGGCCGAGAAGGGAACTATCTACTTCTACGTTCCGAGTTCTAGCGCGCTCCAGTGACTTATTCTTCTGTGCCTGAAAGCCAAATATATCTGTTCAGCGAGAGATGCTGGTAACCCATTCCAACGCGTTGAAATACAATACATATAGAGATATATATAGATATACGAAAACCATTATGAGCATGAAGATATATCCTACGAACTCTAGCTTTCAAAACCGGGAATGACTCGACAGGTAATGCCAGACACAATCAACAGTTATAACGAGCATATGCAGTTCACAACAGATAAGGCAGATAAGGCCAAGCATAAACGCTAATCATAACCCAGCATGACAATCCCCAATATAAATCCCATAGTCACATCCCCCCAAGGCACTCATAGTCACAATTCGTCCATATCACACACATAGCGCACATTGTTGGCGCCACGGGACCGATCGCATGCCCATACATGAGGGTCAGCGCATATAGCTCTGACACAGCCCCGCAGCACCATGCCCCGTATCGCAACACGGGGAGGTCGATCGCAACCGACCGATGAACCGCAGCTCATCATAATGTTTGATCGCAACCAAACAGTGGACCACAGCCCAAGAGAGTGTCATCTGACCGCAGCCAGGATAAAGGACGAACCGCAGCTCGTATAGAAATGTTTGATCGCAACCAAACGGTGGACCGCAGCCCAAGAGAATGTCATCTGACCGCAGCCAGGAATACCAATCTGACCGCAGCCAGCTTCTGAACCGCAGCTCAGGATACCAATCCGATCGCAACCGAATTGGGGTAGCACACACACATAACACATAGCAGACACATGCAACCCACGTTACACATTGGGAAGGGGGATAAAGCGTATAACAAACCTATGCGTGATCCATCACATACTAAGAATAGTCCTAAGGGGTTCATACTTCCTTCACCTAGGTCAACGGGATACCAATTCATCTAGCATGCGATATAACAGACTCATAAACCTACGAACGGTACCCGAAACATCAAACTAGACATAGGCACGACAAACGGGGTTCATTGGGACACCACGGGGATCGGGGAAACATCAAACGGGGAAACCGGGAGCCCGAGGTAGTGTAATTTCCAGCGGGTAGCCGGTGGGTGGGGGTCCACCCGCCGGCTGCCACTGTTCCGGGCAGCGAGTGCCCGGCGGGCAGCTGCCCGCCCGCCGGCTGCCCGCTGACGGAGCTGCCCGAGAATGCCGCGGGTAGGTGGCAGGTCCCCTACCCCCACCTACCCCCCACTGACTCTTTTCATTACTTTTCGCCCCGGGAACCGTTGTGGAACCCGAAACCATGCTTAGACACTTTACAACGCAATTAACAACAACAAGTAGACAATTAACGGATCAAATACGGGAAACGAACGGCACATGGCCTATCATGCTTTTCTAAACATAATCAACACCCAAACATGCGATTTCCCACCCGATAATCCAAGAATCAAAGCATACAGTACAACCTAGGGTTCTAATTACTTTTATATCAACAAGAATACGATTCGTCTTCTAATTGCAAGATTCGGTAGGAACAACACATAATCATCAAGGATACCAATTTAATCATCAAGAACATCATAATCATCAAGAACAACACGTAATCATCAAGAATCCCAATTAATCATCAAGAACATCACAATTATCAAGAAACTCCCAATATCAAGATTTCCAAGATTCCCCATGGAATCATTAAATCAACATCAATAATAATCATAGTAATTCGCCATTTACAATCATATGGGGGAAACCCTAAGGGGAAATTATAGCTATGAAAATAGGTTTTGTTGAGACATGGGTTACCTCTTTGCCTTAATTAGTTCCTTGGCTGTGAAGGGTCTTTCTTTAAGCTTTCTTGCTTTCTTCTAAGGGAATTCTTGGAGCTCTCTTGGGGAGGTGGGGCGTTTAGGCGTGTGGGAAGTTCCAGGTGTCTCCTAAGTCCCTTATTTATATATTTAGGAGTCCTAATTAGGAATTAATACTATAGGCTTGCTAATTCTATTTCTTTCGGAACTAAGGATTGGGTTTAGGGGTTGGGTTTATATATGAGGGCCCATGGGCTACGGTGGGCCTTTTTCCCTAATTGATCATTATGATTTATTCCTTCTCTTGGGCTTATTGATTGATTAATTAAATGGTTTTAGGGGCTGTAACACGGGATGTTACAGGCGTTATAAGGGTGACCTGGAAGTATAGGTTGGAACTGATATAAGGATGAAGAGGAGTAAATGTTGGAACTTGGTATAAGGTTGGATCATGGATGTACTCCCTGTTGACTGCTTGTTGTTATTAATTGTTGTTGAACCCCATTGTTGCCATTGTGTGTTATTATTGAGCTTTGTTATTATCTTATCCTGCGGGCTTAGGATGCATGCCAGTATCTTTATGGTGTTCATAGTGTCAGCTTGTTGTTGTGTCTTGAGTCTTGATCTTGGTTTTAAAGCTACCGTTGCCTAGGATTATATATGTATTCCAGTCTTAAAATGATTTTCTTATATCTACCTATATTGTACTCAACGCGTGGGAGTGGGTTACCAACATTATTCGCTGATGGTTGTTACACCATATGTTTTTCAGGTACTGACCAATAGCTTCGGAGCGCGCTGGTTGGACTCGTGGAGTTGGCTTAGATAGCTCTAGTATTAGTTAGATGGCATGTGTACCTTGAATTGTATTTGAATATTGATTCGCGGATTATACTTGGTTAGTTAGTTTATCCTGTGCATCTAGGTTCTTAAACCTAGATGTGGCATAGCACCCCGACTCTCTTGCTTAGCTTCTGTTCTGTTTGGATAATTAATGATAGATTCGCCTTTGTTTCATAAGCTTTAAACGTTTTAAAAATTAGGGGTGTTACAGATAGTGCAAACCCTTTCACAAGTTGTGGAAGAAGAGTGGAGTAGGCTTAGTTAATAGCCGAACCACTATAAAAACCTCTCTCTCCTTTCGGTTATTTATCTTCACTGCATTGCATACATATTGACCAAACCCTAATTTTCCATAATTAAAGCGTGCAAAGAATATTCTAAAATGAACTCAAATTTTCCGCTGTGCATTACTCCCCGAAAGTTATTTTCAAAAATTCGAGTAGAGTTTATTCACCCCCCCCCCCCTCTAGACTCTCTTTCAACCCTACCGGGACCAACAATATCTATTATTATGCCAAAAATTTTGTAATATCTTTTAATATTTGAAACTTTGAATATATTTTCATAAGGTTGGAAGTTCACTCAACCCCAAAACTCTCTTTGAATACACCATCAAGAATTTCGTCAGCTACACTAGAAGATGAAATTAATGGGGATACACTCAAGACCTGTACCATTGAGCAGTTGTATGATTTTTCGGAGGTATTTTTCTATTGATATAACTGTCATTTATTAATTATTAATTTATTAATGTTAACAGACATAATAATTAATAATTTCCCAATTCCTTTATATACACTAATATAATTGTTAATTAATAGGTGGGAAGTTATTGGGTGTTGGCTACAATTTTACCCATTCAGACAATAGGCGATTGGTGGTACCTCTCATGCAAGAGATGTCCAATAAAACTAGAACAAGCATCCAACTGTTTCTACTGTGACAAATTTGATAACTCATATCCGGATGGAAATTTTTGGTATAAACTTATAATACGCGTTGTCGATTCCACTGGAAATGCACCATTTCTATTGTGGGATCGGGAATGTAATGAATTGTGTTAGGAACATATGTACTTACATTTTGATGATACCAATGTAATTTAGACTGTTGATCCCTAACTTTTGAATCGTTTCTTTTGATACTTTCGTCTTAGACGAAAGGTGCCATAACTCACCTTGTAATTCGTGTTAAGCTAGACAAACACACGAAACCGAGTTATGATCTTTTAGTTAGGTTTACTTGGACGAAAGAAGATCGAAATATTGAAGAAAAGCTACATCAGTCAGAGAATCCATCTCTCGGTTATGCAGCAAATGGAGAAGTACTCATCAAAGCTGCCAATTCAAACGAAAGATAAAGTCAATCTTTCGTGAAGAGGCTTTTAGTCTACAATCAGATTGCCAAGACAATTCCTCTTTACAAAATTCAAGAAGAATGTTGTTAAGTCTCAGCTGGGAAATCATCCAAGGAATAAGTTGTTCTAAGAACAAGGTGCACATCAACCAAGATGCATTAAATGTCTTGTACCTCTTTACAGAGCTAGAAGACAAAAACACCGCAGAAGTTCTTGCCACCAACGACTACATGGTACAACCGCAATAAATGCAGCATTAAATGCACCAAGTCCTCCGGGCAATACCCACTGGTCCATAGGTTTGAAATATCATCTCCCTCCAACGGATGGATATTTCTTCCCCTATAAATACCCATCTTCTCCACTGAAGAAGATGCTGGTTTTTCACTCAACTGATTATATTCACGCAAAAGCTCCTTATATAAAGTTCACTCTTCCAAGCTTTTGAAAACCACTGATTCAAGGTGTGAAGTTTCAAAAAGAGCCATCAGATTTCATCTTCACAATCTTGAAGAAGTCTTGCATTTTCTAAACGTTGATCATCCATCATTCAACCAGCCAGTCAAGACTTCAACCTGTTGGAGAAACACGCAAATCTTTTCATCCAACTCTGAAGAAGACGTTGATAGAGGCGGAGTCAACTCTAGGAGTTGAAAAACCTTCCAAGTAGCTGTCCGGCTTAGTGATCAAGGAAGCTAGCTTGAAGTAGTTTGTACTAGGAGTGATAGTGCAAACCCTTTCACAAGTTGTGGAAGAAGAGTGGAGTAGGCACAGTTGGCCGAACTACTATAAAAATCTCTCGTCTTTCTCTCTATTTACATATCGCTTTACTTTCTTGCATTGCATATCATTACTCCTTCAAACCGAAAGTTCCTTAAGCGTAAAACAGTGCAAAGCTATACTAAAATCTACTTAACAAATCCGCTGCGTTATAACCCCGAAAAGAGTTATTTATGTAAAAATCGAATTGAGTCTATTCACCCCCCCCTCCTCTAGACTCTCCTTTCGACCTTACCGGGACCAACAAGTGGTATCAGAGCAGTTACCTTGATCGCTAAACGCTTTGCCTTTACTGCGTGGTAGATCCCTTTTCAAAATTTTATAAAACTGCTATTTTTCGTCTTTGCACTATTTTCACAAATAGAAAATGGAAAGAGATCATCCTAACCGTTCTAGGCCTCTTGCCTTTAATCTGTCTAAGTTCGATGACTGGAAAGTCAGAATGCAGGCACATCTTTTAGCCATCCATGACGAAATGTGGGATGTGATAGAAGATGGCCCGATAGTAGTCATGATGGTAAACACACAGGCAGCGGCAGAAGGAGAAGACCCCGAAGTCATGATCCCAAAGCCTAAATCTCAGCTCACCTCCGACGAGAAGACAAGAGCAAATCTTGACAATGTTGCACGAGATATTCTCTACAAATCTCTAGATGACTCCTTATTCCCGAGAGTACGGAAGTGCAAAACGGCTAAGGAAACCTGGAATATCCTCATGAATCTGGGAGAAGGAGACGAGCAGGAGAAGGATAACAAGCTTACTGTAGCTATGAAGAAATTCGAGGACTTCAAAATGCTGCCAGCCGAAACCATCCCTGATATGGAGTTCAGATTTACCAAGCTGATGGGAGAAATTTCTGATCTCGGCAAGGAACCGACAGAAAAGGAAAAGAACCTAAAAATCCTTCGTGGACTTCCCAAGTCATGGGAAATGAAGGTGGCGGTAATGAGAGATCATCAAGACATGAAGACTATATCCTCGATGAAGATTTTTAGCGATCTCAAGGCACACGAGTTTGAGCACGAACCAAAAGAATCTGACGAAGCCGAAACAAGAAATATTGCCTTGGTTGCAAACCAGCAACCCTCAACCTCAAACAGGTCAAAATCTAACCCGAGTGATTTTTTATCTGATGAACAGTTTGCCTTGTTTGTACGTAGAATGAAGTGGTCTATTAGGAAGAACAACTTCCAAGAGCAACAAAAATTTCAAAGCCCATCAAACCGAAGGCAATATGAGAAATCTCCTCAAGCTTCCACACAAGAAACAATCGATGGACAAATGCTCTGTTACAACTGCCAAAAGCCAGGGCATTTCAAAGCGAATTATCCTCGTCCAATGGTTCGCAAATATCAAGATCAAGAACCCAGCACTGGTGCATCAAAGGATGTCGCTGAAGTAAGCAAAAGAGGTGATAAGCGAGAGCAAAATCAACCTCGGCACGAAAGAAGAAGAAGAGCTATGGTTGTGAACGAATCAGCAAAAACTATTGAAACCGAAAACAGCTCTTTAAGCTCGAGCTCAGACGACGAAAGCACTGAAGAAGAAAAAGGACTGCTTTGCTTGTTTAGTGAAGAAGAGGAAACTAATGATCTATGCCTCATGGCTCAAGATGATGAGGTAAATTCTCAATCTTCCTCTTCTATTCAAATGGAGTCCAGTTCAGTCAGTGGCCAAAGTTCCAATGAATCAGTCAGCGAGATGATGCGGGACTTTATAATCATAAAGAGCACATACTCTAAGCTAAAAGAGGAGAACTCTCAGCTAATTATCATCCATGATGAGCTAAGGCGAGTTCGAATAGAGAACATTAAGCTAGCCATCGTAAAAGATCAGCTCAAAAAACAAGTTCTTTCTCTTAAAGAGCAGTGTACAGAAAGAGAGTTGCGGGAGCAACAATTGCGTAAGGTTCTTGATTCGTTCAATAATTCGTCCAACTTGATGGACCGAATGGTGAATGGATCAAAACCGCTTGGGGAAATAACCGAAATTGGTTATGACCTCAGCTCCCCTTCACATGTCTTATTGAACAAACCCACAAACGTATACTCTCGTGAGAGTTTCAAATTTGCGTTTGTTCAAGGCCCCACTCAAATATCTGTGTAACACCCCCCAAACATGCTATGTAAAAAGCCTTAACACATGCAGATCATACAACAAAACTAGCACAGCGGAAGATAAAAACGAGAACTGGATAGAAGAAATCCAAACGGGGTGTTATGCCACGTCTACCAAACACGGTAAACGCTACGGCGATCAATCTGCAAGTGTATACATCTACCCCAAAAAGGTAACAGTCTAACACTACAACGGCACACATGCCACAAACAAAGGTAAAGATACTAGACTACCGACCACTAACATCACGCTCGTCTAGACATCACCTGAAAGATACAAAGATAAACATTGGGACGACGCCCGGTTAGCGATAAATGCTGGTAACCCACCAATACCTGTTAAGTATCATACATAGGTAGGGTATATACAAAATCATTTCGAAACGGAATACACACACACACACACACACACACACACACACACACACACACACACACACACACACACACACACATATATATATATATATATATATATATAAGTGTAAAACCAAGAGTAAACACCAACTCAAGACTCAACACTCATCAACAAAGATACGGGAACACATCCCAAAACCACAAAGGATAACCACAACGCAAAGGATAAAGACAAGACCGGTGGCAACACATGCCCTTGTGACTACACACGTCATAAGAAAGAGAACACATAACCACGGCTACACAAGCCCTCGTGACATCACCCGCCACGAGTTGATATGCCTTCCTTATGCCCTGTTCCAACCTTATTGCTATCCCCAACCTTGTATCTTCTTCCAACCATTACCTCCAGGACCCCCTGTACTTCTTAGTCCAACCTTTTCCCTCCTGGGACCGTAGTCCCCCACCAACAAAACCACCAATTCATAGTACACGAGGTACCGTACACGCACATGGCACACATGCCCGGATAACACCTGTTATCCCCCAAAAACGTGAACCTTACACAAAGGCCACATCTCCATAATCACGCCACGGCCACCACGAGGACCGCTGCAATACCTTGGTGACTAGTGTCCCATACCACTAATCGTGGAATCCAGGTAAAGCCACACACGCACCACAACTCAACAAGAGTCAAACAACGGATCACAACGAAGGTATGAAACATACTCAATCAAGGAACGGGTCACAGCCCAACAACATCAACGATGAATAACACAAGTTATCATCAACCAAACGGAAAAACCACACACACGCTAGCATTAAGACAATAAACTAGCATGCTTAACAACGGAGAAACTCAAGATAGTTCCGAGGAACACACAAGACACCTCTCGGTCCAACGAAACACAATGTTGAACACTTAGAACGATTCAAGACACCAAAGTCCTACATGGATACCTACCATATAGTTCTAGACATACGAAACATCAAGAAGACGCTCAAATAGTTCCATAAAAGAACATCGGGAAGTCAAAAGACCAAATACTGAGTCAAACGAATCACGGGGAACAAATCCCATCACAACACCAACCATGTACCCGCAGGTGGACCCACGGGTAGTGCCCCACCCGTGGTTTCGCCCGCTGGAACATCATCCCACAAGGCCATGTACCCGCGGGTAGGCCGGCGGGTGGTGCCCCGCCCGCCGTTCCGCCCACGGGTACACACTTGTACCACAACAAATCCCTTCGAGGATTTTCTTCTCCAAACACAAATTCAAGTCCAAAACATGCCAAATCTCACTAAACACAACAAAATGACTTGAATCATGGAAAATGCCAAGCATTGGCACAAAGGAACCCTAAACACAAGCTCTAGATATGCAATATCACAAGACAAATGCATAAACCCTGACATTTCATAGCAAAACAGAAGTAGAATCCAAGAAATCACATATAGGTAAGCAAAATAGGTTTTAGTAGAGCATGGTTACCTCTTGTAGACCAAAAGACTTCACTTTACACCTCAACAAGCTCCTTACAAGGCTTACTATCCAAACCCACTTCAAGATCAAACCAAAAGATCATAAAGATCCTACCTTTAAGAAAAAGATAACTAAGATGGAACCAAAAACACAAGATGGACTTAGATCTTACCCTCCTAGATGCCCAAATAGGTGAAAGGTTGAATCTTGGGAGCAAATCTTGGAATCTTGACAAGGGTCTCAACTTGGCTTGGAGAATAAGCTACACTTCTTTTCTAGAGAGAAGGTAGAGCTAATTTCTACGAATTGTAAGGAATGAAATGAAGAAGTCTTCTAGGTTAGGTTACAATACTAACTCTTGGTGAAAAGTCAAGAATACCCTTACTAACCTTTAGAAAGTGTAAGGAACAAGGGAACTCCCCTCAAAGCTCAAGGTACAACACAACTTTAAGGTTGACTAGTCAAATACTAGTCCTTAAGTATTAACAATCAGGATTTTAGGAATTAATTCCTCAAATAAAATAGGATTAATTACTCAATTAATCCATGGATTGAACGTGGATTTTTGGGGTGTCACAATCTGAGCCGATGAAAAAGATTAACAATTATGATCAACCACAATCGACAAGCTTGCCGAAAGGAAAGGCTGTACAACGTATTGTGGAACCACGAAATGGGAATAACTTGAAAGGCAAACCTAGGCATGATACTAATGTCAAAAGGAATGAACCGAAAGATAATAGATCTAATCTATACTATCAAAAAGGTCAGCCTACAAGGAATAAGCAATCGAGGGTAAGAACAAATGTTAATCAGAGGCAAAATCGTTCTAAGCATCCACGAAAGGATCCTCTACGAGGAAACCCGAAAGGAGAACGTAACAGATATGCCAAGAGGTCATTTAGAAGACCAATGACAGGTAACGGATGGAGTGGACCATCCGAAGAAGATTCGATTGTTTATCCCGAACCTTTGTCAAAAGTGCAATTTGAGAAAATCCATCGGCATAAACAAACCAATTATTCTAAACAGTATCGCAATCCACCCGGTGATTATTTCCAAAGTTGATACAAAGCTAAATCTTTTGCCAAAATCTACTACGATTATCAAGTTTTTAATAGATACAGAGGACCGAGGATGAGTCGAGTTCACTCTAGGTTCGTATGGATCCAAAAATTGACCACTAACCCCGAAGGACCCGCAACCGAAGGGGTACCTAAAACTTCATAATCTTTCTTGTAGGAAAAACAGGTCATATGGTATGTAGATAGTGGATGCTCAAGACATATGACCGGTGATAAAACAATTTTGAGCAACTATAAAGAGATTGACGGTCCAAAAGTAATCTTTGGAGGAGAAACGAGTGGTAAAACTCATGGAACAGGAGACATTATCATGAATGGCATAACAATTCAAGGTGTCTCATATGTCGAAGGACTAAGATTCAATTTGCTAAGCACGAGTCAATTCTGTGACAAAGGCTATAATGTTGAATTCTCAAAAGACAAATGCAACGTTGTCAGCACGAGAGATGGTGACACCGTTCTCACAGCCAAGCGGAAGAAAAACATGTATGTTGTCTCTTGGAATTTATCTAATGCTAATGTTTGTCTTGTCGCAAAAAGTAATGCAGATCTAAGCTAGGAATGTCACAACAAATTGAGTCATCTGAATCTAAAGACCATCAACAAACTAGCCAAGAAAAATCTCGTGGAAGGCCTACCGAAAGCCACCTATGTTAAAGATAAAATATGTGAGGCTTGCCAAAAAGGAAAGCAAATCAAGACCTCGTTCAAGTCCAAAGACTCAGCCGTGAGTTCTCGTCCACTAAGTTTATTACATATGGATCTATTTGGACCAGTTGATCCTGCAAGTCTGAGTGGACGAAAGTATTCCCTTGTTGTAGTAGATGACTACTCAAGATATACTTGGACTCTTTTCTTAAAAAAGAAGAATGAAACAGAAGTCGTGCTACCTGATCTCCTAAGACAACTTCAGACTGAAAAGGAGATCAACATCATAAGAATCAGATCAGACCAGGGAACCGAGTTTGTGAATAAAGTCATCAAAGAGTTCTGTGGACAAAATGGCATATTCCATCAACTCTCGGCTGCACGTACTCCTCAACAAAATGGAGTGGCCGAAAGAAGGAACAGAACCCTGAATGAAGCAGCACGAACGATGATCGCACACTCTTGGCTTCCTAAACGTTTTTGGGCCGAAGCTATCAACACAGCATGTTACATGCAGAATCGGTCCTTAATCAACAAAGCTCACAACCTAACTCCATACTATGGAAAGGTAAGAAACCTATTGTTATCTATTTTCACTTCTTTGGATGCAGGTGTTTCATTCACAACAATGGGAAGAATCATCTAAGAGCCTTTGATGAAAGAGCCGATGAATGATTATTCATGGGATACTCCTCAGTAAGCAAAGCCTTCAGAGTTCTAAACAAGAGAACTATGGTTATAGAGGAATCTATACACGTAACACCCCATGTTACGGCCTCTAGCCCAAACTAATTATTTAATTACTTACCCTAAAAAAAGAGAATTAAAATCCATTAATTAACTAAGAAGGGTCCACCATAGACCATGGACCCTTATCCCTAAACCAAACCCTTAGTCCTATAAGAAATAGAATTAGCAAACCCATATCATTCAGACCCTAATTAGGACTCTTAGACTTATAAATAGGGACATAGGAGGCACCTAGAATTCACACCACAATAGATATCGCCACACAAGAATTGCCAAGAATTCTCTTATCACCAACGTAGGAGAAATCAAGAAGAAGAGATCTTAGAGAAAGAACCTTAATAGCCAAGGAACCTAATTAACGCTAAGAGGTAACCCATGTCTCAACAAAACCTATTTTCTTTGCTATAATCTTCTTCTTTGGCTCCTTCTCTATGCTTGTGTCTTGATAAATCTTTTATGATGATGATGATATGATCTTGATAATTGATGAGATGATCTTATGTGTTGATCTTGATAATCTTGATGATTAAAGAGGATCTTGATAATTGTGTGATGTTCTTGATAAATCTTGATGTTCTAGATTTTAAAGATAAACAATGATTTTGATGATTTGAATATGATTAGAGCCCTAGGTTAAATTGGGGATTTCGTATTGTGATA